ACACAGAATATGAACCTAGGACTCTGCCGACCAGAGCAACTAGAAACATCGCCATTCATACTCTCGATTGCGTTCCACATTATAGGACTCGACTAAATCCGAAACAGGCATCGAAACAATAGCTTTGTAGTTGCGGTGCAGTGAAAAAACTTACGATTAATTTCAGTCCAGGCATTTGTAAATAGACAAGGTTCTCCGACAAGGCCGCAACAGGAACAACTTTACAATCACGGTCTAGTTAGTTCGTTTTCGTACAGATGTTATGTAAATTAAAATCAATCGAATTGGTTTCGTTTTCGTTAGTTCGTTTTCGTACAGATGTTACGTAAATTAAAATCAATCGAATTGGTTTCAAAAGTTTTTACAAATCTTAATTTCGTTGGCCTAAGTAATATTTTAAAACCCTTTTCAAACTCTTCCTATACAAATAAGTATGAATTTATGAATTTATTCATATGCATTCGCAAAAGTACTTAAGCAAATAAAAATGAATAAATATAATGACATTAAATCGTTGAAATTAAATTAAAAACCCATTTAAGTGTTGCACCAACAAACACGAATTAAAACAAATTTCGCAAAAACCGGGAAAAAAATCAGCTTCCAAACGTATATGTAGTACTTGTCGAACATATTTTTGGTGGCGCAATAAAATGTGTGTTGCGGTTTCATTTTGTGAATTTGTATGTTGAAAGTTATTCATTTGAATTATTCCTTTGATCTCACGCTTAACTCGTTTTGTGCAGCGTATTTAAACGCTGCCAAATACTATTAATATATATTTAATTATTTTATGCCAAAACAACAAAAAATAATAAAAAAAAGTTGAGAATTGAGAAATTAAAATTAATTAAATGTGGCCAATAAAATTTACAAATAAGAAATTATTGCTGGATTATGGGGGTTGTAAGGAATAAGTGATTAAAACTTCATTAGTTTATTCGTATAATGGTATTAAAATTTTAATTAATATTTTAATAGTACTTTTGGTAATGTCATACGACATTTAATTGTTTGCTAAATCCTGTTTATCCTTTTTAACAGGATACACAAATATTTAGATCTTCTTATTTAACATATGATATGCATGTAAATGCAATCCGTTGCATGCATTATCGAAAGGGCTTAATTGATTTGAAATATTTATTTTAGAAACACATTTTGACATTTAGATACAGTGGGCCTAATTCAATTTTTTCTTAAATTCTTTTTAAAAAGTCTATTCAAGCTCAATCTTCACGAATAAGGATTTATTCCTTCTTATCTGTCGATAATTTTTTTGAATACTTAAAATTAAGCAATATCTTCCAACATCTTCTATGGAACGAAATGACCGGAATTGTTTGACCATTTACAGAAAGATCGATATTTACTGATATTGCAGCTCCGTTTCCCATCGATTCCTATTGGAATTGAAAATCCCTAGTGTTACAGGTAGTTGCAGTCCAAGGACAAGGTTAGGTCCTTATGTTGTCATCAATGGGGAAATACTTGAGTCCATTATGTCACACCCTTTGCGTTACCTGTAAAGAGAGCGTATTAGTATACTTCGACCTAATTACTCTGCAACCCTATCGAAAACAGTTTGTCACACGAACAACTTAAGATATATCCATTAGGTAGTGCAAAACATTTCAATTTGTGATTAGCTATCAGAGAGTGATACTCTCTTCTGCCTCCTCATCCCTACAGCTTCTGCAGATCAATAATTACCGAGTAAGTTTAGTCTTCTAGCATGTTATATCCTCGTCATTCTTGCTTGTAAGCATTTTTAGGAATAATGTCCGAAGAAGAATTGTCAGGTATCTGTTGATGACCTCGACCAAATATATTCCTATTGTGAAATGTTTCTCCACCTCATTTAGGGCTGCCCAGCATTCTAGGACCAACTTTGATGTTGTTTAAACACCAGAACCTGAATCCTGGTATCGTAAACCCAATAAATGTAACTAACCCCTATATTCCATCAATTTTAATAAAGATGAAACAATACCGAATCTCCTAGAACTTAATATTCCAAATTTTGGAATTAATACCAGTTCTATTGTCAACTTTAGAGAGATTTATACAACTTTATTGAATTGTTTATCTTACATTTTAGGTTCTTAGGGCCTTCAACTCGCACTATGAGCTAGTTTATGCGGGGAATAAATCGAAAAGTTCATTTTTTTCATCTGCGCTAGTTCACTAGATGTAGCAATAGCGAGTGTGTGTGTGATCAACTACACAATCTGCGATGCTAAAGATAAACTATCATTATCAGTTATATAGATCAAACCTACGGCTTTATAGTCTCTGAACGCCACTAAATATAGCAAGTCTGATCAACTACTCAATTTGAGAAACAATAGTTCATTTAGAATCATAATCGATTATATAGATCAAACCAATTGTTTTATCGACCATGAACTCCACTAGAATCTGGTCGACTACGCAATCAGGATCATAAACGTTGAACTAAATCTAGGATCATAATCGTCGAATAAAACGAGCGCAATCGAATCTGGGTCTGATCAATTACGCAATCTGAGTTCATCATATTCGTTGAACCAAATCTAGGATCATAATCGTCGAACCAAATGAGCGCAAGCGAGTCTGGATCTGATCACTTAAGCAATCTATTACATAGACCGAAATAACTACTTTATAGTCTTTGATCTCCACTATATATAGCAAATGTGGGTCTGATTAACTACTTTATCTGGGACACAGTAATTCATCTAGGATCATAATTGTTGATATAAATTGGACAATGGTTTTATTATCTCTGAACGCTAGCTCAGTTCATCTAGGACCATAATCATTGATATAAATCGAACCAATGATTTTATGGCCTCTGAACGCGATAATTAGGTTAGGTAGATAGGAGGATATGTTTCAGAGTTTTGTTGTCCTCTCTACATGATCCACATTCGTCTGAATTCGCACGTCCTATTTTATATAGATGTATCCGATATTACGTAGGTCCACTAAAAATATGTACCATCATACTAACATCAGAATTGCTCTTTTTTTAGAAAGTATCTCGTCCTGCTCTCTTTGTGGTCCTAACCACTGTTTCATTATTCCAAGAGACCTTATGCGTTAGTTATATCAACCAGAAGAAATTGTATTAGTTTAGTTTCTGATTCATTCAGCGATCATAACTTCAATGTGCTGTTATATCCAAAGAACTTAATCTGGCGAACCAAGGGTATAAAAGCAAGTTTGTAAAAAAGTGTTCATAATCCGAAAAATTGGAAGACTTAAGCTTAGGAATTTATAAGTTATGGCATACAGTTGGCCCTCTCTTTAAAACGACCAAGAAGATTAATAGTTTGACTCTGAACAGCACTCGACCAAGTGATACGTGTTGAACTTTCACCATCCATGTTGCTGTTAAAACACCTTGAAAGCGGTACAGTTATTACAGTTTCAAACTTGCCATAGAGAAGAATAATAATAGTTATTGACTAGAAAAGTTCAAGGAACTTAAATACAAACCGATATCTTGTCTGTTATCGCGAAATAACTTTTAAAGTCACAATTGATTGCAAAACCATCATTATCCGTCAGATTTTTTGTCTATATAACACTTACATGTTCTTATAAATAACCTTCCGGATAAGACTCATGTTTATCAACTAGAGAGAATCGAAAAAGTTACGGAATTTTGAAACCCTGTGATTTGAAACTATTATTTTAAAATTCAAAACTGCACTTTCTCTTCATATAAATGTTGGGTTTTGTGCTCGTAGAAAAGACACTTCTAAAGGAGTGAATTGTTTCAGATATAGTCCCATGATAGGGAGCACAAAGTACTCTTTTACTTGTGAGGACTCTTAAGCAAATTCTAGACTGGATCCCAGTGGATGTACACATTTTACTTTTCAATGAGGCATTACCTTGTCTTATACGAATTTTTAGATGATTGCTGAAAGTGGCTCACATATTTTTGGACTAATATATAAGCCCAGAGTGACCTAGAAACTAGCTAATTTAGGCCTAAATCGCTAAAAATTTGTAAACTCAATTCTAAAGCGCATTTCAACCTTGTCAAGGAGAAGGTCACATTCAAATCCAATTTGCTGACAATCTGTCATGCCTGAGAACACTGATGAACAGTTTTCTTCTAGTTTAATCATAAAACATTCTTAAAATCATTTCTACTTAAATTCTAATTTATATGGTTTTCTATCTATCTACTTTATCTCTCTCTTTTATTGCTCGTTATCCACTGTACATGACTACATGAGTATTAATGTCTTTTTATCCTTTTATATTCTCATCATCCAACGAACCATTCATTGGTACTGACACACAACAAATGTCCTACAATATATAAATATATATACATATGTACAAACATGCAAGAACATGTTTTATCAAGGGAACAAATGAATGTTTCAATAATTTATTATCGAAATCTTAATGACACAAGTATTTAGGGCATGACAATGCAGACCAAAAATCTCCTCGACTTATGAATTGAGTTGAAAATCCTTAAAACAACAACAGCATAATACACAAACATTCCACTTCAGACCACATGAAAGGATCAACAGAATGAATGCATCGGTTGTCCCATTAAATATTTCTAAAGTATTTTACAGAATGAAATTTTGAGGTTATGTTGTTGTTATTCTTTGAAAGTGTATGATGGGTGGTCATAAATTAATTGATTTGTGGGACCGGGTGGCATATAAAGGAATAAGTAGTGGTTAAAGTGGCACAGGCTGACAAAATTCGAAACCCTCAGAGCTTATTCTAAAGACTGAGTCATGCTGAATCCGATTCTGACTTCAGATTTTCTCTATCATATCAGGGTTTTAAGATATCTTGTTTTGAAATTTGATAAAACGATGTGATGAAAAAAAATTCTAAGGCTATTCGGATTCAGCGCTACTAAAAGAATACTTAGGTTTCTGGGTTAAAATTTTGTCGGTCTGTGTTATTCTTTATAAATTGAATGAATCTGTAATGTTCATTTAATGAAAATTGTATAATTTTTTTCCTTTCAGAGCCGATCGCAATCATGACAACTACTTGACCATTAAAGAACTGGGACAATATATAAATAAAAACATAGTGGACCATATAGATGAAGCTATACAACTTAATCCCCGGGAATTTCGTAGAGTCGATATAGCACCGGCCGATGGCCTTATAACCTGGGAAGAATATCATCGTTTCTTTTTAAAAGAACACGGTATGACTGAAGCCGATATTGATGAACATAATGAAATCAAACATACCGCCCTAAATCGTAAGGCCCGCGAGGATATGATGCGTGACAAGGCCAGATGGTCGGAGGCGGCTAGAACTGATCTTTTTACTTTAACTATAGATGAGTATCTATCATTTCGTCACCCCGAATCGAGTATTTCAAATCTTTTGGAATTGGTAGATGATTTACTAAGACAATTCGATCAGGATGGTGATGATCAATTAAGCATAGAGGAATTTTCGGAGGTAAATGTGGCCGATGATGATGATTTGATCAGAAAATCTTTAATCTCCAAAACGGTGGTAGAACGACGAGAGGAGTTCAAAAGAATCATTGATAAGAATCAAGATGGCAAGGCCGATAGAGGTGAACTATTGAATTATGTTAATCCCAAGACCCCCCGATATGCTTTGCAAGAGGCTGCCACTTTATTTAGTTTATGCGATGATAATCGTGATGGTAAATTAACTTTAAAAGAGGTAATTAACTTTATTTAAAAAACATTACATTTAAATTAACAACTAATATTTTTTTTTTTTCTAAATTTCTCTAGTTAATTTCAAATGCTGAAATATTTTTAACCTCTAAAATGATCGATACTGCCCAAAGTTTTCATACGGAATTTTAAATTCTCCTCTCTGCCTGTGAATGGATCCTCTTTTAGAATAAATATTTTGTAATACTCACACATACTCATACATATCTTTAAACTAACAATTTCAAAGTAATTTAAGTCAATTTTTATTAAAATACTTAACTTAACAACTTAACTAAATAAAATTTCTCAACATAAAAATTTTTATAAAATTATTTTGTAAATTAAAAATATAATTAAATTATCTTCTACAATAATTAAATGTTTGTTTGTTTTTATAAACATTTTTGGTTATCCATGTCCTAGTTATTCGTTATTTGGCCAACATAACCCCAACTCCTTCCACAAAGTTAACAAATATTTTTTTATATTAAATTCTTTGCAAATATTCTAGTTGAGTAATACAATTTTTTCGGCTATAATGTAAATAATTTGTTAAATTTTTTTTGTTAACCATACTTTGGAATTAAAATAATTGGTTTTTTAACAAAAGCCAGGACTTTTCTTAGCAATATCTCTAAAAGCAAATATAAAATAAATTGAAAATAAAAATAATAATAAAAGCGTAAAGGAAATGTGAAATTATATAGTGATATTATATTTAAGTTCTGAAAACCATTTACACATACAAATACTCAACAATAAACACACACACTCATACATATATACATACACCAATAAAAGCACCCATTTTTTTAATAGAAGAAAAATTATTATTAAATAAATGTATTAAAAATTGTATTTGTATAAAATGATAAATAAAAATTATAAAATATTTCATAAAATTATATAGTATTTAGCAAAGTCATTTTAATCGGGAATATATAGGTCCTATAAAGTTTAACTGCTCGTGTAACTGTAGTAGCTTCCCAGCTCTAAAGAAATCAAACAAATAATCAATGTTAAATACCCGACTGTGCTCAAATAAGAGTAATCAGGTGGATGAAATGCAGACAAGATAAGATCTGATATTGAGGTTGAAGATATACTCTCACTTTAACGATATTACGTATTTCCGAACTTAAAATACTGAAGCAGTACTAACCTATAACAAAAAGTACTTTATAGATTTTAAAGTACTAGACTATATACTAGACTATATACTAGACTATAGACTAGACTATAGACTAGACTACAGACTAAACTATAGACTAGACTATAGACTAGACTATAGACTAGACTATAGACTAGACTATAGACTAGACTATAGACTAGACTATAGACTAGACTATAGACTAGACTACAGACTAGAATATAGACTAGACTATAGACTAGACTATAAACTAGACTATAACTAGACTATAGACTAGACAGTAGACTAAACTATAGACTAGACTATAGACTAGACTATAGACTAGACTATAGACTAGACTATAGACTAGACTATAGACTAGACTATAGACTAGACTATAGACTAGACTATAGACTAGACTATAGACTAGACTATAGACTAGACTATAGACTAGACTATAGACTAGACTATAGACTGGACTATAGACTAGACTAGACTATAGACTAGACTATAGACTAGACTATAGACTAGACTATAGACTAGACTATAAACTAGACTATAGACTAGACTATAGACTAGACTATAGACTAGACTATAGACTAGACTATAGACTAGACTATAGACTAGACTATAGACTAGACTATAGACTAGACTATAGACTAGACTATAGACTAGACTATAGACTAGACTATAGACTAGACTATAGACTAGACTATAGACTAGACTATAGACTAGACTATAGACCAGACTATAGACTAGACTATAGACTAGACTATAGACTGGACTATAGACTAGACTATAGACTAGACTATAGACTAGACTATAGACTAGACTATAGACCAGACTATAGACTAGACTATAGACTAGACTATAGACTGGACTATAGACTGGACTATAGACTAGACTATAGACTAGACTATAGACTATACTATAGACTAGACTATAGACTAGACTATAGACTAGACTATAGACTAGACTATAGACTAGACTATAGACTAGACTATAGACTAGACTATAGACTACTATAGACTAGACTATAGACTAGACTATAGACTAGACTATAGACTAGACTATAGACTAGACTATAGACTAGACTTAGACTAGACTATAGACTAGACTATAGACTAGACTATAGACTAGACTATAGACTAGACTATAGACTAACTAGACTACAGACTATAGGACTAGACTATCGACTAGACTATAGACTAGACTATAGACTAGACTATAGACTAGAATATAGACTAGACTAGAACTAGACTATAGACTAGAATATAGACTAGACTATGACCAGATATAGACTAGACTATAGACTAGACTATAGACTAGACTATAGACTAGACTATAGACTAGACTATAGACTAGACTATAACTAGACTATAGACTAGACTATAGACTAGACTATAGACTAGACTATAGACTAGACTATAGACTAGACTATAGACTAGACTATAGACTAGACTATAGACTAGACTATAGACTAGACCTATAGACCGACTATAGACTAGACTATAGACTAGACTACAGACTAGACTACAGACTAGACTATAGACTAGACTATAGACTAAACTATAAACTAGACTATAGACTAAACTATAGACTAGACTAGACTATAGACTAGACTATAGACTAGACTATAGACTAGACTATAGACTAGACTATAGACTAGACTATAGACTAGACTATAGACTAGACTATAGACTAGACTATAGACTAAACTATAGACTAGACTATAGACTAGACTATAGACTAGACTATAGACTAGACTATAGACTAGACTATAGACTAGACTATAGACTAGACTATAGACTAGACTATAGACTAGACTATAGACTAGACTATAGACTAGACTATAGACTAGACTATAGACTAGACTATAGACTAGACTATAGACTAGACTATAGACTAGACTACAGACTAGACTACAGACTAGACTATAGACTAGACTATAGACTAAACTATAGACTAGACTATAGACTAAACTATAGACTAGACTATAGACTAGACTATAGACTAGACTATAGACTAGACTATAGACTAGACTATAGACTAGACTATAGACTAAACTATAGACTAGACTATAGACTAGACTATAGACTAGACTATAGACTAGACTATAGACTAGACTATAGACTAGACTATAGACTAGACTATAGACTAGACTATAGACTAAACTATAGACTAGACTATAGACTAGACTATAGACTAGACTATAGACTAGACTATAGACTAGACTATAGACTAGACTATAGACTAGACTATAGACTAGACTATAGACTAGACTATAGACTAGACTATAGACTAGACTATAGACTAGACTATAGACTAGACTGTAGACCAGACTATAGACTAGACTATAGACTAGACTATAGACTAGACTATAGACTAGACTATAGACTAGACTATAGACTAGACTATAGACTAGACTATAGACTAGACTATAGACTAGACTAGACTATAGACTAGACTATAGACTAGACTATAGACTAGACTATAGACTAGACTAGACTATAGACTAGACTATAGACTAGACTATAGACTAGACTATAGACTAGACTATAGACTAGACTATAGACTAGACTATAGACTAGACTATAGACTAGACTATAGACTAGACTATAGACTAGACTATAGACTAGACTATAGACTAGACTATAGACTAGACTATAGACTAGACTATAGACTAGACTATAGACTATAGGACTAGACTATAGACTAGACTATAGACTAGACTATAGACTAGACTATAGACTAGACTATAGACTAGACTATAGACTAGACTATAGACTAGACTATAGACTAGACTATAGACTAGACTATAGACTAGACTATAGACTAGACTATAGACTAGACTACAGACTAGACTACAGACTAGACTATAGACTAGACTATAGACTAAACTATAGACTAGACTATAGACTAAACTATAGACTAGACTATAGACTAGACTATAGACTAGACTATAGACTAGACTAGACTATAGACTAGACTATAGACTAGACTATAGACTAGACTATAGACTAGACTATAGACTAGACTATAGACTAGACTATAGACTAGACTATAGACTAGACTATAGACTAGACTATAGACTAGACTATAGACTAGACTATAGACTAGACTATAGACTAGACTATAGACTAGACTATAGACTAGACTATAGACTAGACTATAGACTAGACTATAGACTAGACTATAGACTAGACTATAGACTAGACTATAGACTAGACTATAGACTAGACTATAGACTAGACTATAGACTAGACTATAGACTAGACTATAGACTAGACTATAGACTAGACTATAGACTAGACTATAGACTAGACTATAGACTAGACTATAGACTAGACTATAGACTAGACTATAGACTAGACTATAGACTAGACTATAGACTAGACTATAGACTAGACTATAGACTAGACTATAGACTAGACTATAGACTAGACTATAGACTAGACTATGGACTAGACTATAGACTAGACTATAGACTAGACTATAGACTAGACTATAGACTAGACTATAGACTAGACTATAGACTAGACTATAGACTAGACTATAGACTAACTATAGACTAGACTATAGACTAGACTAGACTAGCTATAGACTAGACTAGACTAGACTATAGACTAGACTATAGACTAGACTATAGACTAGACTATAGACTAGACTATAGACTAGACTATAGACTAGACTATAGACTAGACTATAGACTAGACTATAGACTAGACTATAGACTAGACTATAGACTAGACTATAGACTAGACTATAGACTAGACTATAGACTAGACTATAGACTAGACTATAGACTAGACTATAGACTAGACTATAGACTAGACTATAGACTAGACTATAGACTAGACTATAGACTAGACTATAGACTACTATAGACTAGACTATAGACTAGACTATAGACTAGACTATAGACTAGACTATAGACTAGACCTATAGACTAGACTATAGACTAGACTATAGACTAGACTATAGACTAGACTATAGACTAGACTATAGACTAGACTATAGACTAGACTATAGACTAGACTATAGACTAGACTATACACTAGACTATAGACTAGACTATAGACTAGCTATAGATAGACTATAGACTAGACTATAGACTGACTATAGACTAGACTATAGACTAGACTATAGACTAGACTATAGACTAGACTATAGAACTAGACTATAGACTAGACTATAGACTAGACTATAGACTAGACTATAGACTAGACTAATAGAACAGACTTAGACTAGACTAGAGCTAGACTATAGACTAGACTATAGACTAGACTATAGACTAGACTATAGATCTAGACTATAGACTAGACTTATAGACTAGGACTATAGACTAGACTATAGACTAAGACTAGACTAGATCTAGACTATTATAGACTGGACTATAGACTAGATTTATAAGACTGACTTATAGACTAGACTATAGACTAGACTATAGACTAGACTATAGACTAGACATAGACTAGACTAGACTAACTAGATACTAGACTAGAGACTAGACTATAGACTAGACTATAGGAGACTATACCTAGACTAAGACTATAGACTAGACTAATAGACTAAAGACTATAGACTAGACTATAGACTAGACATAGACTAGACTATAACTAGACTATAGACTAAGACTATAGAATAGACCCTATAGACTAGACTATAGACTAGGACTATAGACTAGACTAGAACTAGACTAATAGACTAGAGACTAGACTATAGACTAGACTATAGACTAGACCTATAGACTAGACTATAGACTAG